GATTCTGTTTATAAGGAAGAAGGGGAGAATGAAAATAAATAAATTCTCGGGCTGTGCTGAACTGGACGCATATTGTCAAACCAATCATCAACCCTTCTGTGCTTGAGTTTACTGAGATATAAAATGCAAACTCTGACACCCAGTTTCAAGAGTTGTTAAGAGTACTGAATGAGAAATGAGCAAAATGCTCAAACTGTGGTTACCTGGCACATGAAACATGTCAAGAGACAGTCTATTGCTGATACTCTATAAGCAATAAGTAACTAGCTAAAAGATTATAAATAGAAGAGTTATATTAGAGAATCCAGAGTAGGCCTCTATGCACAGAAACCACCGTAATTTCTAAGTGGAGATCAAAACGTTTTGCTGTCCTATTTATTATCCTTTATTGGTTTCCTTTTACAATGCACTTGTTCTCCTGGACATTTCTCAGTACCTTGATGGGTACACTCCATCCTAGACCCTCTCTCCATGTTCATGGTCTCCCCTCAACCTCCCACCCTCAGCCCCTTGCTTACCCATGTGTTCTAACCACTGTAAATGCTTTGTCTTCTCCTTTTGCCTCAAACACTTCAGTGAGCATCTCCTTTTTGCCTCAGTATGAGGGTCCTGGGAGGACCTCTGTTGTGGTTTGAATCCAAAATGTCTCTCACAGGCTCAAATTTTGAATGCTTAGTCCCTTGCTCATGGGCTATTTTAAATGTTGTGGAGCCTTTAGGAACTAAGGTCTGCTGAGCAGAAGGAGGTCACTGGGGCCAGGCCTTTAAGTTATAGTTCCTTCTGGTCTGGCCTTTTCTCTCTTCTTCCTGTCTGCCACCACAGGGGGAGTTTCTACTACTTGCTTTCATCATCATGCCTTCATAACATGATGGACTGAAACCCCCTTGAAACCATAAACAAAAATAAGTTCTTCCTCCTTTAAGCTGTGACTATCAGATATTTTGTCACATTATTTAGTCCTTTTTTGTCACATTCTTTTATCCAGGTGATTTACTGAAACGCTTTAAGAAGATCTAGACTATTTTCTTGATCATATTCAACAGGGTTCTAGATGGAAACACTACCAATGGAATAGTTATACGGAGAGGGAGAGGGAGGGAGACAGAGGTCTTATAACAGCTTATCTCCTGTGGTTATGGTAGCATGAAAGTCCCAAGATCTTCCAAATGAATCAGCAAGCTGGAGTCCCTAGAAAACTGTTGTTTTAGTTCCTATATGACTCTGAAGGCCAGAGAATCAGAAACTTCAATGAGGTTGTTCCAATCTACTGATTTCAATGTTAATTCCATTCATAAACATACTCACAACAAGCCTGGGAGGTAGAGACAAGAAGGATCAGGAACTAAAGGTCAGGTTCTGCTACCTAGAGAATGCAAGTCCAGACTGGTGTCCATGAGGCCATATCTAAGACTAAATAATTCTCATAAAAGCACTCATAAAGTATGACTGAAAAGCTTGGCACCCTGTTACGCTGGGTCATAAAATTAACCAACACACTAACCACATCCTTAATTGCATGCTTTTTAACAGCCAGCTGACTATTTCTACCCCATCTCCTGTCCCATTTCATCATGATCCTATCCCTGATGAACCTATGAGCTTGTCCTTGACTCCAAAGCCATAATAATATTGTTAGGTCCACGGTGACTATCTAGACACATATTTTTTTTTTAAATGTGATAGGTCAACAAATTAAAATAAATGAGTTATATTTGAGGAGGAAGCATAAAAATTTATGTCATGTTAATGAGTAGAAGTATAAACATTACCACTGAAATCTAACCAATGACTTTATAGCCATACACAGGTGCTAAGGATCTGAGTGCAACTGACTATGACTAGTTATAATCAGATACATACAGATTAGACACACATGCGCCAACATCTCAGCGTTATTAGCAAAAACAGTGAGTCTTTCTGTTAGAAACAGTATATTTTAAAATGAAATGGAGATCTTTTTATAAGGTTAAAAACTCATTCAATGTTATGTCTTACAGGGTTTATACTATGCTAAGGATCTGAGTGCAACTGACTATGACTAGTTATAATCAGATACATACAGATTAGACACACATGCGCCAACATCTCAGCGTTATTAGCAAAAACAGTGAGTCTTTCTGTTAGAAACAGTATATTTTAAAATGAAATGGAGATCTTTTTATAAGGTTAAAAACTCATTCAATGTTATGTCTTACAGGGTTTATACTAAGTTCGATATTGTATAACTGTATTAATTCAACAGTGAACCTAAAAATATTATAGCCACTTTTGAAAATATATAATAAAAAAAATTGATAGGTTGAAAAAGGGAGAGAAAACTATAATATTTACCTGAATGGGAAATTATGAATGTTAGGACTTGAGAAAGGAAGCAAAAGTAACATTTTGAACATCTTATGAAATCAGAAACTGCACACTTTACTATCTTCAATAAGAATAACTAATTTCTTTGTGTTATTAACTATGAGGCAGGTAGTTTTCTAAATGCTGCATATATATCCACTAACTTAATCCCTTTAACAACCCTATGAGAATCATCATTGCCAAGTACAAATCTGGCAGGAACCATCCTCAGTGATTTCAAAGACAATGGTCGAGGGGAAACGGCTCATATTCTCCCATTCCAGATTTTGAACTTAGGTCTGACTGTTGCAGACGGTACTGGAGAGAAGGGAGACCTTGCCTTCAAAAGCCCTGTGGCAAGATGAGGCTCTGTTAAGATATCAGAACAGGTTAGCCGGAAGTGATAACCTTGTTCCTCCCAGGTATTTGTTCACCAGGATTGTGCAATAGATGCTATTGATCTGAATCACCTGTAGAACTTGGATAAAGAAAAGATTGCTGGAGAGTAAGACAGAATGTTTGATTTAGAACTATATCTGTACTGTCTACCTACAGAAATAGGGCTAAGTGTTCTGTGTATTAGAAAGTTAGAAACCTACAATATCCACTTATTAGCTCATAGTTTTGTGGCTCAGGTATACAGAAGGGAGACCTCAGCTGAAATCTCTGCTCAGGACTGACAAGATGTAGACCAGGGCATCATCTGAAAGTCTTGGGGGAAGAATCCTCTTCCATGTTCATTCAGTTTGCTGGCAGAATTTGGTTCTTTACTATAGGATTGAGGTCCCTGTTACCTAAATGGCAGCCAGCCAGTGACCACCTGTGTCCCTGTTCATGGCCTTCTCCATCTTCAAAGGTGTAAAATGTGTTCACATCTTCTCAAGCCCAGGGCCTTTTGGAGTTCTCCTATAGTCTTCTGCTGGGAGCTAGAGAAAGTTCTCTGATTTCCAGTGCTCATGTGCATCATGTTCAGATGCATCTAGATAATCTTCCTTCATAAAGGCTACCTGTACTTTATACTCTAAGGCAAGATTAGTTCATAAAATAAGGCCATTTCTAGAAATTTTGTCCACCATACATCCTAAGCTCTTAGATGAGCATTTAGCATATAAAATAGTAGGTCTTCAAAACATACATGTTAATTGGGATTGAATGGAACTGACACTGTTTCATTGCAAAGAAAGAGAAGGCACTAAAAAGTGGTTTATGAATGGGTCATTTATTATATTTAATGGAATTAACGATGCATTCTTTAAAAAAAAACTTTGTTGAAATGTAACATAAACTTGCACAGACCTTACACATACATCCCATATTCACTAACTGTGAATGTACATGTATGAATACCATGAATCAAGAATGCTTTCCATATGGTTTCCTTCTAGCAACTGCATGGAACGTGGGGGAACCTGTACCTTGATTTCTAGTGACCTAATTTAGTTTTGTCTGTCTGGGTTATGAACTTTATATACATAGGTACACTACAACGTGTATGTTTTTGTCTGGCTTTTTCATCACTGTCCTTGTATGGGGGTGCTAAGCAGTGACCTCGGAAGGATCAGAACTTTGTACTTCCTTACAAAGAGTAGCTTTAAAAAAGAATAGTGAAAGGCAGAGAGAAGAGCTGGGGCCTGGGTGGTTGCCACACAATATGTGTTTCTGAGTTCAAGCCCTTTCAAGTCTTAACCCAATTCCTGAGGTCCATGAGGCTATTTGCTTATTCCTACCAGCCATAATTGTATCTGTATTTTTTCATTGGGAGAAAAAAGTCCAGGGGCTTATCAATATTTACTAGTCCTGGATTTCTACTGCCGTACATGATTCCCCTTTATCCTTTCTTACAGCTAGCACCCGAGGAAGGGCATTGGTTCAGAGGTTATAAGAACACTAATTTGGGGGCACTCTTACTTACTAGGTCCTACTACAGGCCTCTGGGGGTCTCCCAAACCAGGGAAGGTAAGCATCTCTCATCTTGGAAGCCAGATGTCCCATAGTCTGATGACCTCGAGTGTAATCCTAGTTCCTAGATTTTGCTCCTAACTCCCATTTAAGATGTTGTCTTTGGGGAATTTTTAAGCCACACCCCTCTCATAAGTATTTAATCATGGGAGCCACTTGGAAGATCAGCAGACAACAGTCTCACCTGGAGGGATTCCCCCAGGACACCGCACATCCCTGGGTGCACAGGAACAAGTTTCAACTGCACCCTGTGCAGCAGGTCTCTGGCCCAGGTGAACAACCACAGCCAGCCAGCAGCTCTGTTGTCCTCACTGACCCGGTGGCCGAGAGTCCACAGAGAGAAAGGAGCGCTCAGCACCTGACTGCCGGCTCACTCTGGCCCAATGTCAGCCAGGTGTCTAAGAGCTTCTAATTGACCAAAGACTCAATCGCGGGTCCCTCCGCTTCGAGCCAAGGAAACCAGGCGCAAAGCAGCCCGGGAGATGAAGTCCCCGCCAATTCCTGGCGTTCTCGGGGTCCCCTCCCAGGACCCGCAGAATGTAGAGGTTCCTAGTCTGGTGACACAGAAGCTAGAGTTATAGACCTAACGCGAGTGTCGGGATCTCACCCCACAGACCCTCCAGACACCTTCTCGGGTGGCGGTACATAGAACGGACTACATTTCCCATACCGCCCCGCGCGGAGCCGGGAGCCGGCTGCTAGCTTTGCGTGACCGCGGCAGGTTGGTCCTGGAGCAGATGAGCGCAGAATATTTAGGCGAAAGAGAGAGGAGGGGGGGAGCGCGGGCTGGAGGAGTACCTCGGCCAAGAAAATTATGCATGCGTTAGGGAAGCTCTGAGAGAATGGCTGTGGAAGGTAAGGGACGCTCGGGGCGTTTTAAGCTCCCTCTTAACCCGCGCACCCCAATCCACACATTCCCGATGAGGCGGGGAGGAGAGGAAAGGGGGTGGTGGAGAGCCGGCCCCTTCCCCCGCATCACTTGCCACTCACCTGAGCCCCGCAAGGCCAGGAAGCTCCTGATTTAGTTGCTTTTGAGAGACGTATAGGTGCACAGGACTTTAGGGTAGGAGGTAAAGAAAAAAGCGCTACCAGCCCAAAGCGATGTGGTAGAAATGGGGGGGAAAGCCGGGAAGTCTGGCTCGAGGGGGTTCAGCTCGGAGGTGTCCTTTTCCCACTCTCCCACATCCAGGGCACGGCGGGTGGGCTCGGGATGCTCGCTTTGCCCTCCACACGTGGGCGCTGACCCTGACCAGGTGCGTCATCAGAAAGCTTGGACTGCCTGTCATTGGGTCAAGGGCCCCTTGTAGTCTGGACCCTCAGCACCTACAGCAGATCTCTCTGAGTGAGGGTGTCTTTTACACTAGACTCTGGATAATCCTACCCTGGGTTAGCAAAGTTTGCAGAAACGAAGTGCGTTGCCCCCCCTGGGGGAGGTGGAGGTGGGGGGCGAAGAAACCAGCCTCTTGGATTTGGGGATTCTTGTCCTTGAAGACCGCCTTCGTCTTTCCTCAAGTAATTTTGAACTTTGAATTTGCCGTTTTGATTGCACAGCCTTGGCTCTTTTGAACTTCCTGGTTAAAGTAGGATCAGGCAATAATTCGGTAGTGATCCGAGCTTTTCATGTCAGGCTCTCTTTGGAACACAGGCTTTTTGTTCCTGGGGGTGAAGGGACATGTGGACTAGAAGGGTTTCTGTTGTCAAATTGGAGGTCACATTTTTGCCCCGTGATGACCTGAAATGATTATGGGACTACCTGGGAAGCCAAACCTCACCTCCAGAATTATGGCTCCCAAGTGCTCTTTGGGTCAGAGGGGATCTGAGCTAGAAAAAGAAGGCATTCCGGCCAGTTCTGCCAGGTTCCTTGCCAAAGGGAAACGAGCCTGTTCCTTGTAGGCTACAGATGAAAAGGAAGCACAGAGTTTCTTTGCTTCTGTCTCCTTTTTCTGCCCCAGGAGACAGAAAGTGAAATATTCTGACCCTCGCTTTTCTTATAATTGTGGTCTTAACCTGACCCGTAACAACAACCCAGCTCACATACTCAACACCTGTAAACTCAGAAACTGCTGTCTTTGAGACATCCCAGGTTCAAAGATCCCCAGCTGGTCCCTCTCCCTTTCAGTGTTCCCAAGTGTACCAACAAAAATGACCCCCTCCTTCTCTAAAGTAAGCCAGTAGATGATAAGTAGATGTGCCACAGAAACAAAGCCAAGGTAAAATTCATCTTGAGCTTGGGAACAGGGTATTGACCTACTGCCACCTTTCCCCCTTACCTATTAGATGACATTGATTATATTCTCTTCTCTCTTGTGTGTCCCCCAAGTGAGGACACTCCCTCCCACTTGTTGGCAGTCCACAGTGTTCTTGAAGATAATTTCCTGTTCACTGTTAAGAAGTGTAGAAAAGAATTAGTCATATTTCTTGTGGGTGATTACACCAGCGAAACCAGACCTTACAAAAACACGAATTCTGAAAGGGAAGGACATGTGGACCTCAAAGAACTTATTTTATTTTCTAGTGACTTTCTTGACTAAAATCCCTGTCTAGTAACACAGAAGATCCAGGTTGCAATCATGGTGAGGACTCGAGAAGAAGGATGCAGAAAGTGTTTTCAACTGTTCTTTTTAACATAGTCTGGGCCTTTTCTAGCTGCTCACATGTGGTCTTTCAAGGCTCAAGGAAGACTGACTACCCTTCCTCTGGGAACCTGTTGTATCCTCCCTGTCCCCTCTGCCTTTCCCATGCCCTGGTGATCTCATGCACTGAGCTTCCCTAGCACCAGTGCTTAAGTCTTTTCCTACCATTGCCACACTTAATCTGTCTCTCACTGGTCTCTGAGCCCCTGGGGCGTGGAGACCATGCACTCTTCAGTTTCCCAGGCTATAACACAGAACTTGGTTCATATCAGGCCCTTAGAAAATGTTCATGGATTGCGCAAAACACATCCATGGAGGTTTTGTAATGCTGCATAAGGGTGCCTGGAACTTTCTTAGATGTCCAAATGCCATAAAAGGAGACCTTTAGAGACTTGAAGGTGTGGTCTTTTAAAGGAAGTGCCCTTCTCTTCAGCCTTAATGTTCAAAGACTCAGAGTGACTGTTTCCATATACTGCTAAGAGTGTCATTACTTTAGGACCCATTTGAGATATTTAGGAAATGTACCTGGAGCTGTGCCCTTAGATCAGTAGTGCATGACTCTTCCATATAGAGTTCTCCGTGACCAGTTTATGAAAGTTCACTGAAAAACACTGATTCAGGAAAAAAGGAATTTTATTAAGGAGCTGGAAAGGGAATATAGTACATGCTAACATCTGGGCTTTAGTGTTCATGTCTGTAAGAAAAAAAATGTGCTTGCTATTGTTTACTTATTGGGAACGATGTATTAAATAAAGGACAGGTCTTGATGGCTGCCTAGAGTTCAGAGTGTTGTAAACATTGCTTATACTCCCATTTCTCTCCTTAAAAAGAAAGCCATACCATTTGGCAGATGTTTTGTATCCCACTTTTTCACTTATACATGTCAGCCACTCTAACAAATTAGAAGATTTTTATAATGTGTAACCCCCTTCCTTAGTGAACTTGAACTTGTAAAAGTGTTAATTGCAAGTAGTCCTCTTACTCATTTTGTGGAATCTGGGGCTTCTGTTTAAGATGAAAAGAGATGCCCTTTGTTTATTACAGCTACTGTGAGTGGTAATTTTTTTTTTCTGAATTTAAGAACATCCTGTTTGTTTCTAGCCCAATTGTGGCTTTTGCTTTGTTTTGCATTTATGGGTACCTGGACTTTTATAACTGTCTTTTCATGCTGTCTTACATCTAACCCAATGTGTCCCTTCTGTGAATGAATGAAAGATTGAATGGATGACTGAATTAGTGGGCAGGGTTACGAGTGATTTTATTTCTGTTCTGGCCACCACACATACGTGCTTTCAACCATAGAATAGGATATGGTTATGATCTACATTGGGTAGGGAATATATCATCATGTGCTTTTTTAGCTGGAGAAGTAGGAGCTTGAGTCTGCCATTCTCCATGGATAGAAACTGTAAGCAGTTCTTCCTATTCACATGATGCTGGCCATCAAAACTGAGTTGTAATATTATAGAGGGACAGGAAAAAGGATGGGTTTATTAGAGACAGTCTTATGTTCATCTCGTATTTTAAGGGCAATACCTGGCACTTAGGAGACCAAGAGCAATTGTTCCATGAACGAGCACATGATTCCCTTCAGCTAGAGGAGGATTTTTTTTCTCTCTCCTTGTCCCTGATTCCGCCTCCTTCCAGTTTTTCTTTGTTTTTTAAAAAATAAGGTGAGTGAAAATTATCCTTCTAGTATTTCTACTGCACATCAACCAGATTAGTTCTTCTTAAGTGGCAGAAAAATAATTGCCAATTTTCAGCACTGGAAGCTCCCCTCCTACCAAAAACAGTATTGCAAATGGAATGTGTGCTCTAAATAACATCTGTTTTAGGGGATCTGAATTTTCCCTCCTAAGTAATCAAATTGATTTATCAAATGGCATTTGACAAGTCACTCAATATTTGAATTCTATGGTTTTTGTATAGTAAGAATTAAAACACTGCCCATCACTGGACCCCTGAAAGGTTAAATAATAGCTGGGGACCAGAGGAAAAGAAATAATCAAACACTTGTAGCAAAGAGAAGCAGTCATGGGAAGTACACTGTGCTAGTAACTGACTGTACCCACCTTGAACTGAGAGCCAAGTCTCTAAATAAAAGGAATAACTAAATGAGATGACATTGCCACCTTTATCACAAGGCAATCTGGGTCACCTTGTGACAGCCTGATAGCAGAATATGAGAATCTGCAGCAACCAAGTGAACCCAAAGAAAGGGAGAGAGGGGCTGAGCCACCTATGCCTTGTGCCTTTCACAGACAAACACATCAGATCGTCTTTCCTAATAAGGGTCTGTGAGAGGGTGAAGAGAGAGACCAGACATATCCTGATAAATTCCCCCTATACCACACAATGGGGAGATGGCCTTGTTTGCTTTTTAGCATTATTCCACTTAACCTTTTGTAACTACCTTTTCGTTCTGTCTTATGACTAACTCATATGTACGAATGAATGAATGAATGAGTGAATGCTGAGGGAATTACTGGGATGAATTATGAGTTGTTTGATTTCCATACTGGTTGCCATATATGCAATAGAACTCCCAACCCTCTTCACCTGTAGAGCAGGTATAGAAGGGGTAAGACAATGGACGTGCTTCCCGATGGGTGTCTTAATCCAAGCTAACTGCTTTCTAGCTCTCTGTCAGTTAGCATACCACCAAGGATTTTCTTTTTTCTTTTTTTTTCCCCTTATTTTCATTTTCTTCCCTAGCCCTTTAGATCTGACTTTCCTGCTGAGTCAACGCCTGTTGATCACTATTTTTTTCAAATAAGAATAGTGACTCATTACTCATCATTGAAAATTCCTGGGCAGTGACTATGTGACTAAGAAGTGGGGCCTCAAAACCCCAGGTGGAAACTTGCTGTGGCAGCGTCCTGCCGCTCCCTCTTCCTCTGCAGCCTTCTCATCTAGTTCAGACATGGCTTGGTCTAATCCTACCGTTACCATGCATAGCCCAGCCCTTACTAATTCCTTTCTTCCTACCCTTACTTCCTTATTGGCTTTGCTTTTCTCATATGCCAGAAGAACCAAGGGCTGGTACTAAGAAGGGGAGATGGTGGAATCCTTGTAGACGGAGCTGGGTGCAGTGCTGAGTCACAGTAGCTGCCATAGTGACATGTTATAGAGAGGCCACTGGGAGTCTAAAGCCTGTACTTGAACTCCAGAGATGCTATGCATCTCATTCACAAGAATGAGGGGCTATTTCAAACTCATTTG